GGGGGGGGGGGGTGTTAAGTATTTATTGTTCAGAATTCAGAAGTCAATAGTAAACCCGAACAACAAGGGGCTTCCAAGCACGTCCGCCCTACGGAGCTACGGAATGATGTCTGTGCGCTTCAGATGGGTAGTTCTCTAAATTAGGGAGCCTTTGTAGGTCCCCAATACAGTACGGCGCCCTTTTCAAAAGAACCCCAAAAGGGACCCAAATTTAGAGAACTGCCCAGATAGCACGAAGGTTTGGGAATCGATCTGTGGGTGATTCATGAGTGTTGGGTTTGCTCCTCCATGTTGTCTTGGTCTAGGGCATAGGTTCTTTGCCCCAATCGGGGGCCGAAAGGGTTCGAGCAAGGATCTGGCCCATCTCTACGGAAACTCGGTTCCTGGAATTCGAAGGGAAGACGAGGCCCTTCTCAAGGGCCGTCTTATGTATATAGATATTCTAAGGGGTTTGGGGACTTCTTTTGGGTCTTCCACAACCAAGGCCGCCAAGGAAGGCTCGGCGTCTCACAGCTCAAGTAGCGCGCCCGGGGACCTCCTCGGCGCTGCGGGTTCGGGTGGCGTGGGCTGCACTGAAATAGAAACTCTGGTGCAGGGTAATACAAAGCAAGAAGACGTAGAGCCAACAGGAAAGAATATGCAAATGTGGGGAGTCCGGCCAGTCGGTTCTATAGTGAGGGTTCATGATGTTAATTTTTTTATGTAGGGATGTGAAACTGAGGGCTGTGGCAAGTAAACGAAACATTTTCTGCACTGGTTGGTGCAGTAGCGGTTTGGGCTACATTCTTCCCCAAGGGAACACTACTGTCGGTGCTGCATAGGATGTGTAGTATTTCGAGGATGGAATCCGCTGAGCTTGGAAACATGGTAGCACTGCGCATGCTCTTCTGCAAACTCTGTTGTTCCCTGGCCTGCAGTGATGTAGCTTGCTTTTACCATGTCCGCAACCTACTGCTTGCTATGTGGAAGTCTTGCTGTCGCCGATCCAGGAGAGCGCTCTGTTCCGACCTGTGCGTGACGTGGGGACCGTCATAGATAGCAACCTGGGCTGCAGCATCGTTGCTATACATGAAACAGTTTCGGAAGCTGCCTGTCTTCAGACTGGAAAAAGTTATGACTGCCGCCGAACCCCAGCATAGTATGTTTTAGAGATGTGGCTGTCGCGTCTTGCTTTTGTTGATTTGTTGTTCGCTGCGGTTCTCGAATCGTTACTTCTCCAGCGTTGCCAGTAGAACCCTTGGCACCAAGCCGGCCGGGTTGCCTTCAGTGTAAAGTCGTGTGTAATCACCTTCAGAGCTTGTTCACCACGGCTTCACCCCGTTCTTCGAAGTTGTAAGTGACATGCCCCTTGCAGGCCCGTCTATCTCATCGCCTTTGTCAGGCGCAATCACTTTTTTCGGAAAGTCAAAGATGCAGAAGTTTGGTTGGACACAAGACCCTAGACCCCTGAACTGTGAAAGCTTGAAAGTGTCCACCCTAAACTTCAAGCCCAAAACCGTGAGTCCCAGGACTCCCCGTCCTGAAGCCTTGCAGACAAAAGGTCGAAAAGCAAAGAAATGCCATCTAAAATCCCGAGGCTTCCCGAGATCTACAAGCCAGAACTTGCCCGACAATAGGGTGTAGAGAGAGAGAGAGAGAAGGTACGGTGTTTTAGGCACTAGGCCCAAGCGCACAGCGAGGCAGACAGCACAGGGAAGTTGAAACACCACTTCCCTGCTTTTACATGTGCCCCTGCTTCCGTCTGACGATAAAATCCCAATGCCTTCGCGCAGGGAACCCTGCCCATGACAGCCACCGAGAAGCCTCGAAGAGCTCTTGAAAGAAGCTTAGCCCAGAACCACAAAGCCTAACACCCAGAAGCCCAAAACCCTTGAAAACTAAGCACCCTGCACCCCTCAACTCCCTCAACTCGCGGCCATATAAGGCCTGCCTCTGAGTCTGCAGACTTTGGGCGATGCCTCCTTCGTGTCCGTCAGTGTCGGGAGAGGCGGCTTCGGGTTGACGTAACTTTCATAGTAGCGGAAACTGAATTTAGGGTTTAGGGTTTAGGAATGCCCGCATGCCGCAACAGCAAAAGAAATGGAGAATACCAGCACTACTCATTCCTTTTCCAGCTTCCAAATTGCTGGGATTTCCTCCAGCCCCAACTGTGGTTACTATTAGGGTTGTCAGTCTACTCGATCTGCAACCTAGGCATAATCATGCTCCACGGCTGTGTCTGCTATAGCTATAGCTACTTCTAACCTTACTACTATCATCGTTGTGTTTATGCGGGCTGCGGCGCTCCTGCCGCTCCCACCAGCACTGCCACCACCACTGCTACTACTCGGCACGGCATTCTGCTTCCAATCGCTCTTAGAAGCATGTCCGGGAGCAAAAGTCTTATGCATATATCCTAAGGTTGGGATGGCTTCACGCAAGGTTGGCCAGAAGTCCCCAACTTCAACTCCCCAGCCTCTGCTCTGTTCTCCAATGGCTACCTGCCAGGTTTGTGCCATAGCTTGGTTACTGCTTTGCAAGTCTGTACCATTATTTCCCTCGGTCTTGGAGATCTAAGCCTCGAAGGGCGACGAATGGAGGAAGTTGCATTGTCAGATGCCAAGCACAGGCTTTCAAGTCTTCGAGTGCGACAAACTCCGTCTTGCCTATATTGGCCCTCGGCTCAACGAGAAGGCCCGGGAGCAGGGCAGCCGCAGGCTTCACAGCATTTTTTTCTGGAACCTACTAGGTTTCAGAGCTGAAGACGGCTGATTCTGCACCCTCAAACATGCTGGGCTCGAAACAGGAACTTCGGAGGCCGCGTAGCAGCGGAGCTTCGATGGTGCAGCACCACTTCGACGTAGGATGGGACACTGAACCGTAGTCTTCAAACGCCATGATAACCCGAAACCCTTTCTTCATATGAAGCTTAAAGCTTATTCCCGAAAGCCTGATGCCCAGACAGTCCCAGACTCTGAAGCTCCATCCCTCTTGTCCAAGTCACGCGGGTCTCTGTAAGTTGCAGTCTTAGGATGTCGGGTTGTCGATTTGGCCTTTGGGGTTTCGGATGTAGGGTTTATGAAGTGTGGGATTTGTTGAGTTCACCGTGTTTAGCTCGTGTCAACACTTCATTAAAATTCTGCAAAGACTCCAGTCCAAGGAGTATTTAGACTGAAGCGGAGCGTGAGCCCTGGCTCGGCCCACGGAGCTTGAAGCCGGTGTTTGCATCACAAGCCTTCCACTCCTTCTTGCAGATTCGGGCCATTACCACGGTGGGCGAGACCGTCATCACTGCCTTGAAGCTTGATATCGACTCTTGGTGAAGGTGAAGAAAACGACGGAAGTCAGCCGGGTTTGTGGGCACAGTCTCGTAGGCCGTGGGAGGTTGCATGGGAACCAAAGGTGCTTGACACGGGATGGAAGGACTCGGAGCATTATGCAGCAACTTTATGGCGAAGAGTTTGGGTGAAAGGATCTGATCTCTGACAACCTTGGTCCGCACGGAACACGACCAGAGTATGAGACTGTTGCCCAGAACCCCTGAACCCGAAGGGGTCAACCTACTAGCAGAGCTTCTTCGTTTTTCGGTGTTCAAACCTAGGGTCCATCATCGTCTTGGAAGGAAAACTCCAGAAAGGAAAAGTAGGTATCCTTGGACATGAGCCCCTAAGCCCTCAAACAGGGCTCGTCTAAGGTCGTGTGGCATCGTGTCACAGAGATTGGACGCCTGCGTGGGCACCACAGCTCTGCGACTGTACTGCGCCTCGGCTCTCGGGTAGAACCAGACCAGAGAACTCCATGCTCCTGAAACATCATGAGGATATTTGTATGTCTACGCGTGAATATGCGTCTATACATTTCCTGTTACACATATACATATACATATATATATACACACACACACACGCGTGTGTGTGTGTATGCATTAGGGGCATTGCTCCTCCAACGGTCTCGGTTTCTACGCTTTAAAGCTTTTGGGGCTGAGTCTGTTCTTGTGCTTTGGAAGTCTAGAGTTCAACGTTTAAGGGTTTTATTGCTACGCCAGCTGGATGCAACATCAGACTAGAGCTCATGGGAGCATCAAGATTCTGGTGTGTGTGCGCAAGGGCCGCTGCCAGTGAAATTCAACAGAGATAGCTTCCTTCATGCTCCCTAGAGAACAGACGCTAATACCCTCAGTCAAAGGAGTAGACCTCAAGTTATAGCAGTTCGCTTGATACAATGCAAGGTATCTTTCTAGGTGGTTGGGGGTATGGGGCTCCTCTGGGTTTGGCTGGCGTTGGATCCCGCTCATTGAGCGTCGTAAAGCGGACAGGGCAGCTTGCTTGGCAGGATGCCTTTCCCCCTACAGTGTCAGAGACTCACGGAGGAGCAACGCACAGATCGTTGTCGGGCATTCTCATGACAAACTATGTTGTATTTTAGTGTTTTCCTGAAAGTTTAAAACTTTGTGCCAGAGGGTCTTCAGAAAGTGACTCGCTGGGAACCTGTTTCGAACATTGGCCTCATTATGTGATTGGCGTACCTGAGTTTCTTGTTTATGTTACAGTTGCGCTGAGTCGTAACCCAGTGGGTTTTGGAATTCAGGCATACGGCTCATACGAGTCAAGCGATAGGCCCTAGACCCCGGTTGTTCTCATGGGGTAGTAGCCTTGTGCCTTTCCTTTTTCGGCGGGAAAGCGTTGGAAGCTGAACCTCGAGAGCCTCCAGAGGTGTCCACTCGGCTCGAGTTTCCTCATCTCTGCCGCTGGAAGCGAGGTGATTGTGCCGCCCGGACATGAGCTTAGGGCTTAGGGGCAGGCGTTAACGAGTTTTGGGGTCTTAGAATTCCGGCTCTGGGGTTCGAGGCTTCAGGGTTTAGGGCTACTTGAGGCTTGAAAGCAGCTTGCCGAGTGGGAAGATGTATGTAACCCAACTCACTGGGAAATCGCTTGGGTTAGTCGCTTGATCCTCCATGCAGGGGAGTCAAGGATGAAGTGTTTTTTCTCCAGGTTTGAGGTCGTTCGCGTTTCAGGCTTTCCAGGCTAGCGGATAGTGCATTTCAGTCAGAGTAGCTGGGGTGTTGCTCCCCATTTTGTTCAGCTTCCCTGGAGACAGCATGCACGGCTTCCTTGACTTGCTTGCGTTCTGCTTACTACCACTTCGATTCTGTTTCGATTTGTTTGCGATGTAACTTTCTCTCTGGCACCGATCACCGAGACCCCGCGAACGGACATAGAAGTGAAGTCCGAATCCTCAATTCTAAACCGCATTGCTTGGCCTCGATCAAACCCAAGAGCCAATCTCCAGAGACCCGCACCTAATCACAAAGGGGCCTTCCTGATTGGAGAAGGGCTTGGGGTACTAGCAGTTACTAGCACGAAATTATTCTAAAGCTGAGGTGAGCATCTGCTTGCAGCAGTTGTAGTCTGCTTGTTTGCCAACCGCACAGAGCTTCTGAACTCGTAAACCCAGCCCCTGAACCCCTGCAGTTTCAATCTTCGCCTCCATGCCAACGCATCCGCTACACCAACTCCGGGAACGTTAACCTGAAGCCTTGACTCCCTTGACACCCTCAACAACAGGTTCTAAGTCTTATGGGTAGTTGTCCAAATTCGGGTCCCTTTCAGGGTCCTGTTTATAAGGGTGCCGTACTATTTTGGGGACCTAACAAGGGACCCCAACTTAGAGAACTACCCTTATAGCATATACCTATGTATGCATAAACATGCAGCGGATACAAGGGGACATCCGTGTCAAATGAACTTGTTGAACCCTCATCTGCTGGTTCTTCACAGCAGAGGCCAGTCTGGAGCTCATTGCAAGGGTCATCTTTGACTAGCTTTCATTACTCCCTGTAGCCGAAAAGACCTACCTTTTGGGGGTTCCTTATGATGGTTTCTATATGTATAATTCCCTAAAAAGGTAGGCCTTTTGTGCCCCAGGTTGGCTTTAATTGCAAGGGTCCCGGAGTTCTGAAGTTTGATCTGGCTTCGCTTCTGGCGAGCCTAGACCCAAGTTACCACAGTACGGCCACATGGTAGATGTACTAGGAACACTCAGTAGCTGGTTTAGTCCACGTTAACCTTCTTGGCCATATAGAAACCTATCTTAGTCTCTCTTAGGACAGGGAACTGAGCAACCACGAACCGACGGAGTTTGCACATCGGCTTTCCCCTGCATCTCATAGGGCCTCCAAGTTCGAGCTTAGCACGTTTCAGAGCCTCTGGTGATGGAAGCCCCAGGATCAAGTCCCAGCCCTAAACCGTAAACAGTATACCCGAGCCTGATACGCAGACCCTAAAACACAAGCGATGGTTTTGGGGTCTCAGTTTAGAGCGGCCCCAGGTGGCCCTTGACAGAGCTGGGAAGCGAGAAGGCTACTGCTGAGGCTCGTTTTGGGTAGGAAAGTGCTGGAGTTTAGTTTCAGGCTTTAGGGGTTTCGCGTACGTTTGATCCTTTTGTAGCCACGAGTGCTGCTGGAGGGTTGCGTTGCTGTCTTGCGGAGTTTCCCGGCTGGTTGCGAGAGTCCTGGATGAAAAAAGGGGTTTAGGGGTGTGCTTGGGAGAGAAAGGTGTTAGGGCTTTCGGACTTGGGGGAATTTCGGGGCTTCAGATGGCTTAAGGTGTATACGTTGGCAGTCGGGGGGTCATCTTCTTGCACTACGCAGCGGCTCACCAACCGACCTAAAGCAGGCCTGGTCTATGATTTGGGACTTTCCGAAAATTGGGGGTACCTTGTTTTGGGGGGTCCTTATAATAAGGATCCTACTATTTAGGGTACTATATTAGGGTCCCCTATTTTCGGAAACCCCCATTTATCTATGATGTATTGGTGCCTGTGCAGATTTGGTATAGGGCACTTCAGGACATGAGGTGTAGGGTGCTGGCGTAGAGCGGACTGGTAGCGATTGTTTCTATTACTTACTCTCCCGAGTGACTGTCTGCCTTCGGCGTACTATTGCAAGTCTCGATGGCGTCACACAAACAAACAGCAGGCCAACCTCCCTCAATCCCCTTTAGCGCCCTTTACTCAGCCATAATGCCAGAATGCCTTCAACCCCCAAGTCAGTAAATTTAGACTCCTGATTCCGCGTCGCTGCGCGTCCTGGTCAGTGCGCACTATGAAAAGTAAGAGACAGGAAGGCAAGCATTATGATATGGATCCTACATGAAGGCCCCTGAAGACAGACGGGGGTTCACATATCCAAACGGCTTACTTGGCAAATCCCTGGACCTCTGGTGGTTCGGAGGATTGTCGGCAGCTCTTTGTTGTCAACTGGGTAAACGTTAACGTTCTTCAACGTTTTGTTTGGGGTTTAGGAACCTTTAGTGTTTTCGGTGTAGTAGAACCCCGATATAACCCCAACCCTAAATCCCTAAAGCTCTGAACCCTTACCCTCAACAGGTTCGTCTGGGTTTTCAGAGCCCTGTGCAAACATTGCGATAGCTGAAGGATCAGGGCAAAGTGCGCTGCAGCCCCTGCTCAAAAAAGAGCCCTGTGGACCAGCACGGGGACTTCAAACCGTAAATGCATCAGGGAGCCCGAAGTAATGATATTGATACTTTTTCAGGCTCCGATATTATTTTCCAAGGTTCCGGCCCCCCATGGTCCTCGGGCACTCAGGTGACATGCTGCCAAACCCGTCCTTCAAATCTTGGCAGGGCGAGGATAGAGACTCAAAGTCATGTCCTCGCCGACCCAGAAGCTTTGCGCTACAAACACCCCGTAATCCAAGCCGAATACGTGGGATTTCTCGTCGCCCACTGCGTTCCGGAGGATGGCGTGGTCGCACCCCTGGGGCGCTTGAATCTGGGGGAATTTGGCGCGGTCACCTGCGTCCTGACGGCAGCGCTGGTTGCGCACCCCACTGGTTATCTAGACCCCCCGCCCGGATTTACGCGCTCGAATTTAGGGGCCTGGAGAATCAGTAAGAGCGTTGTCTCATAGTCTCAACAGCACGTCAGTAATCCCCGAAACCCGGTTCTGGTTATTCAGGCTCATGACCTTTGCAGCCCGAGGTGTGCGCCACCCTCCAACCTACCTGCACAAGGCGCCGAGGGGATCTGATGCCATGATAACACAGGTCTCAGCTTCAACCCGAATTCAGCGCCACTTTATGAGACTGGTGTTGATCATGACTTTCTGCTAGAGCCACAAGCCAGGATAGCAGATAGCCCGCTGTCCAAAGCATCATCAGTTTCCCCTTCCACGATGTTGCAGCTGACTTCGTCTGTAGTCCAGAAGGTAAGCCCTGGCAGTCCCACTAAGAGGTCGGGTTCATTGCTGGAGTTCTTAACTTGTTTAGCACGATTCCTGCGCTGCAACCGTTCAAGGCCGAAACGACGTCTGAATTGACATGAGCCCCCAAAGAACCAATGACCACCTCACCTTGAAGCTGAAGCTCCACAGATCTTGATCGCTGGAGCGACTGGCGGCATGGAGCTGCCCGGACGGAGATTTCGTGGCCTCGAAGTTTGCATCGGCCCTAGGTTAAGGGTTACCGGATGCAGGGGTTCGGCTTCCGTGATCTCGGGCTGAGTCTAACCAGATGCGGATCTGGAGTCTCACCATCAGCTTGACTCGTCCGTGCCCTCTTCGCATGCGGCCAACTTCAGGCTATGATTTGGCTTATCCTAGGCCGGCGACCTCCGCCGTACTGGTAGGTTACTTCCCTGGGCCACTCTACACAACTATTAGACAGACGCACACGTTTTTGGGTACTTGGATTTCGAGCGTGAACATCATTGCCTGCTGCTCCAACTGACCCTGAACCGCCCACAGAAAGTTTTAAGCCCCCGACGTGCAGAACGCAAAGTTTTTTCATAGGCTCTTTCCAGAGTTCCCATTACCGCGTACTATGAGGGTCTACCATGGTTCTCCGTTGAGAAACATATCTTGGGTTACAGATACAGGGAACATTCCTTACTCAATCATAATGCCTTACACAGAAGAGAGCTGATTATTCTCCCTCACAGGGCTCATGATGACCTTTAATGCAGAATCCTTAGTTCAGCGATGCTTGACTTTGAAGAGAGTGCAGGGAGCCCCCAACTGCGTAATTAGCAGGTTGTGGAACGTGCGCTCCCGAGAGCGCATCCATACTTTCAAGTCCCACCTTGGTCAGGCAGGGCTGAGGGTGGCTGCCGTTTCACAAGTAAGGGCCTGTGGAGCGCCCGCAAGACCGTAGCGACCAAAGCCTGTACTCTGGGACTCTAATTCGGGTTTAAAGCTGCGGGAGGTCAGGTTTTCTGCTTGGCATCCGACCTGTTGAGACAGCTTGTGCTGGTGTTCCTTCCCTCACTTGGCGGTTTTCGAAGAACCCTTTAGTCTAGCCCTGTTTGAATCGGGATTCACAGGTGTAGGGGCTTGCTGAATGCAGAAAGCGACGAAGTGGTGACAAGCTTGGGGTAGAGCTTCACGTGTCCAGAGGGTATTCGATCATGCATCAACACATATTGTATCTGTATACACATGTGGATACGTGCAAGTGTGAATGTACGTACGGTATAAATAGAATATTAATTTTATATATATATATATATATATGTGCATATGCATATGCGTACACATGCATGTATGCAGAAGCATAGTTTATTCAATGTTTCGGCGGACGTTTAAGGCCTGAAGCCATACGGGCACCGGAAGCTCCACGCAGTCAACCTTGCGGCAGCCTACCAAGGCACCTTAAAAGCCAGGCCTGCTCGGAGCAACTTCCTAGGCCGCAGTTGATGGGGCCTCCCCATGAAGACTGAAGAGCAGGCTAAAAGGGTGGCCTCATTGTACGTCGAGGAACCTATCTGGCCCGAATAGGAAATGGCCCCGTGGCTAAGCAGCAACAACCAGAGATGTTGAGCCAAGAGGGCCCAATTCCCTCATGTAACCTGGAGAACATAGCCGAGATGAGGATACCAGAGTACCACATGCTTTCGGTCACAGGCACAGCTTAGCGGAGCGGTCGGCATCACATCGATGATGGATCCCAGCCTTGTTCAGCCGGGTTTCTGGTGGAGGGGGGATTCAGTGTTCTCATGTGTTGCCATCATGCTACATACCACTCAAAAGCTTTGTGATCAGGCATTGAAGGCTTTGAGTTGATTTTTCAGTGTGGTGTTTGAACCCTAGGCTTTCCCAGGGTTCCGGCTGCACCGGTAGGTGCCGGGATTTTGCGGTTCAAGTTCCCAAAGGAGTGGTGCGATGTTCTTGGATGATTGCTACAGAACTGCAAGCGATACCAGAAGCTCTGATAAATTAACCCCCCTAAATACCCTCAACCTCGAACCCTCACAGGCGCACCAGGAACATAGTAAACTGCGCACCACGACCCTGTCCTGATTATCTCGACCCTCTGTATTGCCAAGCTGTCGTGAAACTGAACCCTCGGAACTCCTGGGTCTAGGATTGCGGCATCAGGTCTCGAAACAGCCACCTCAGGTTGGCCAAGTCACTGCTGTACAACCAAGCATATTCAGAGATGATCTTGGTGCTCCAACACAGAACTTGGCCTGAGTTCAGCATGTTTACAGACTTCCTTTCGGTCTAAGCCGCCCTGATGCAAGGAAGCACCAAACGTACTCGACGTCGTGGCGGTAGGCTTCGCAAGCGGCCGCATCTGCATGATGAACGTTCGCGAGGACGCCCGTTGACAGCCTAAAACTTCCTAAAGGTCTACACCAGATCCTAGAGCCGCAGTAGCTGAGGAAAGTTGCGCATGTCGCCAAATCCTAGCGTACATTAACCTAATGTGTGGGCCGAGGCACTCAGCCAGTTGAGGGCGATAGCAGACTAAAGTTCGTCCTATCAAGTCTTCTTCATTACTCTAGCGCTTGCTTTGTTGGAGAGGGGCTTCTTCCACGCTGATGTATGCGTCCATGAAATCAGGATCCTGGTACTTAGGGTCGAGCATGATGCTCCTCGTCCTGCAACCTACCCTACTTGTAGGGGTTATGGGTTGCTTAACTTGCTCACTCAGTGGGGACTTTCAGCTTGTTGTGTAGTGACGAGTTAGAACTCTGGCAGACATGAGTACGCAAAACGTTCTACGGATAAGGGCGCTTAATGTGATTAGAGGTTCAGTGCTTGGGGCGGAATTGTGAGGCTTTGGGTTGGTTTCAAGTCCCACGGCCTAAGGCCGGATTGTGGGTCATGTGACGTCATCGCAAATTCACAAGTACAGAGTCTGTGACATTTTGGGTATCATAAAGACATGGGTGACCACTAAACCCTGATTCCCAAGCCCTACATCCTAATACACGTACACGCTGCAAATCCGAATCCTTGACCGACATAGCTATGAGCGGAGGAAGCGCTCCAAGCTTCGGCGCACACGTGTTTTTGACCTAGCCAGACGAAGCTAGGAGTGGATGAGAGCCTCGGGTGCAAAGGCTTGGGGTTTCGAGTCCTCAACGCCCGAGGTTACACAGAAGTGTGTAGATCAAAGTTGGAGGCATGTTTTGCTACCAATTCCGCAAGGACCTCGCAATGAAGCCCAAATCGTCTGTCGGGCTCTTGCAGAGGGCGCAGGGTCAGCAGCAGAAAACCACAAAGACCCCCACCGCGACAGTAGAGAACCCCACCTGGGAACACCACCTCTAAATCCAGTATATGTATATACAACGTATGTTTTAATGTACAATATTATATATAAATAGAAATATCTTGAAATATAACGAATAAATAAGTGTATGTATGTATATATATATATACAGTATATGCATTATAAAACATATAGTCCACTTATAAATCAAGCATACGTAGTATATATATATATAATATAGTATAATGTGTATCGGAACGCTGAACCCTCCTCTACAGCATCCCTCCCTTCGAAGGACCGAGTGCTCTTCGAGTTCAATCAAGCCCAGGGTCGTGTTACTTGCAGCTCTGCAGAAAACGGGTCGGGGGGGTGCTCAGTCATTTAAGGCTCGAGTTGAGGGTTTGGGGTGTCGGGCAAGGGGCCGGATTCTCAACCATCAGTATCAGCACACACACCTAGTTAGTTCGATGCCCTCAGGACTCAAGCCCCAAAAGCCACTCCTAAGACCTAGAACGCAAGACGCGCTTCCCAGTGTGCGCCTAACATTGTGCCTACGAACCTCATCTGAGCTCATCTGGCGAGTCCGAGTGTGAGAGCGTAAATACACTTCAAGGGCCCCAAATCCCAAACCCTACTGGCACTTGCAGGAGACCTACAGTTTCCCCAAGGCCCAACAAGAAATGGATAGATAGACAGGTGGACGACAGACAGATATAATAGATAGATGGGTCATTAGGTATAGCTGTGTATAGGTATGTGTGTGTGTATGTATGTATATATATATATATACGTATATATATATATATATTTATTTATTTATTTATTTATCTGTTTGTTTATTTAATATATTGTTTAATTTATATATATATATATACATACATACATACATACATACATACATACATACATACATATACAGATGTGTATGTGGTAGTGCCAGCTCCATGGGACTGTTACCGCCCCATGTTGTGCAGGGAGGGCACCAGAAAGTGAAGACCTGTTGTTGTGGGCATTCGTTTCTGGATCAGTTTCATGGGTCCGCCTCATCGTCGTTCGTGAGACGCGGATCTTAATACATGGCTGCTGCAGCCCAGTAAGTGCCATGCATTGGCCATACACCATGATGTCGCTCTCTCTCTCTCTCTCTCTCTTGCAGTCTAGTGTGATCAAGATTGTAGCACATTCGTTTGCATTGGCTTGTTTTGGTGCTTGATTGCTATATCTGCTCTATGCTCCACTCGACTTCCTCGGCATTATGTAGAGCGTTTATGCTTACGTCGATGTGCTTGTAATCTGTTGTATTGCCACAGGCCTGGCATTCCGATCCGACGACAGCGCAAAGCCCAACCTGGTTAGCGGGTGTTCCACCGGCGCCTTTTCTGCGGAATCGGAGGCTCTAGTCTAAGGCCTCAACTTTGGCGGTTTGACAAAGAACCGAGGGACTACCCATCCAGGTTTGAAGTGTTGGTGTACTGCAGTCTAAAGTGCTTCAGACTTTAAAGTGGCTCAGTCAACTGGCGGTTTACGAGCATTTCTTCATGCCGACGCCTTGCGTGAGCTGCGAGGGGCTGGAGCGGCAGGGCCTTGTCACTGTGTCTTTCCACCCGCAAAGTGTCTTCGCAAAGTGTCCTGCGGAATTGTGTATCTTTATTTTGCGGAAGCAATCTTTGCCCGTGGGTTCGCCTTCTTTTGCGTAGGCCCAAGGCCTTCTAGACCCTGACTTGGAAATGTAATGATCAAGAACTAGCAATGCAAGAGAAGCCCGAAGACCCTCAGCCTCAAATCGACGACTAAGCCCACATGGGGTTCCCGACAGACAGGATCCGTCTCCTAGGAATCTTCATAGCCCGGGTCCTCTGAGATCCGACAGGTAAGCGCCAGAAGGCTGGAGCATCCTTGTTCCCATAAGCTTGAGGTAACTCAAACAAATCCCAGCAATGCCACCAGCTTCCGGGAGTTGGCTCTAACCTCTAAATCCTTGAGCTTCAGCTTCAAACTCTAGCAAACACCCTTCACCCCTAAACTCTATACCCCTAAACCCTCGAACCCTAAAACCCTAAACCCTCGCACCCTGACCCTCAACTCGCAGCGAGGCGAGTTCGCAGTCTGGGACTTAGAGACGCGGAGGCTAGTGGAGCTGCACGAAAGAGCGCACAAGGCCGGAGCATGTCCTGGAAAGCAGGCATCGTCAAGAACAACGGGTCAATGGCACTAGCCGTAGAAAGAGAAAAGCAATAGCATAGAGAAGAATATTCAGATGAAGCTGTACTATAGGAGCCTGAATAATTAGAATAGGGTTTTTTTGGCCCATTCTACTACACCGATAATAAGGAACCCCCCCCCCCCACAGTATTGGTAATATATTATGATTGGAACTGTAGGCTTCGGGCTCTTTGACCATGGTAACTCGATGCTTCTCGGATTGGGGTTAAAGATTCAGGGTTTCAAGCAGGATGTGAATTAGGAGGTTGGGGTCGATTTGAGCTTAGAACTTGCATTCTCTTGATCTCCCGAAGTCCTAACTAGGCCCCTCACCGGACAGTGACTCGTGGCTTTGGAAGCACTTTGCCAGGCAGGGCACCTTGGCCCCTGAAGCTGGGCTTCAGGTTCATTCTGCCCTCTAAATCCAGGATTCTCGTTGAAAGTAGAGACGTCAGGGCTTAAAGCAGGTCTAGGCTAAGGCTTGGAGGCTAAGGTGAAGTGCGGGGCATATCTTGCGGATAGTAACCACAAGGTCTGAAGACCGAAACATCTACTTCGCCCACAAACCGGAAACCTACCAGATGCGAGCCCGCAAGTTCAACCTTGGTAGCTAGGTATTTGCGCCTTAGCCTTCCGTTGCATTCAGAAAGCACAAGGCCTTGTCTCTTCTAAACGTTTAAAGTCTTGGAACCCCTACACCCTAAGCCCTCATTCCGATCACTCAAAATCCTCCACAGGGGCCGGTGAACTCTGCGGTCTTCCTGCCCAATGAGCCACTTTTGCCCCATGGCAGCTGCAGTAGGCCTTCTTCGGTCTTGAACTAGTTTGGGCTGACCTTCTCATCTTATTGATTCCGGGCTCGTGGTTTGCAGCAATACGATCTTTTAAAGTTGTCGTGTCCTTGCGATTTGCCGATGGGAGGGGGTCTGACAAGCGGTACGGCGAAGCTGGGGGTCGCTTAGGTTCTGAAGCTCCCAGAGAGTTTTACAAAGTATCACCTGCCAGGCTTGGCATGGGTGTAGTCCCTTTTTCAGGACCCTCAGTTCGCGAGAGTTCGGATAGGGAGGGCGTTGAGGGGTGCATTGAGGATTTTTGCAAGCCAACAAGACGCGCTTCCAGCCTCACGCAAAAAGACACTGTCTCACTGTGCAGTCGGTGCCCCTGCCCGGCGTCAAATCAAGAGTTTTGGAGATTGGCAGAATACAATCATCCTGTGTCCTTCCTTGAATCGAAAGATGGTCTCAGGCTCACCAGTGGAAGCGACAACGCGGCTGGAACCTAAGACAAACAGCTTTGGCGTTTTGAGACTGCAAGCGGTTGCCTTGTGAGCGACTGCAACTGGTCTTAGCCTCAGAGATCTAGAGGCACCCAAAACCCCTGGACCCTAAACTTTGGGTGGTCGGCCCATCAACTAATCGCAAAGATGTGTTTGTTCTGTGTAAAACCTTTGCTCGCAAACCTGGCCAAAAATTTGAGAGGGTGCCCTTAGTACAAATCGACAGGTGGGCATGCAGGATATAATAAAGAGCAGTTGGCTGGTCTCGGCCCACGGACACCCCCCAAACCCGCAAAAAAACGCCTTAAACCTAGTCCTGAACCCCAACACCTACACCCAAAATCCCAAGATCCCTAAACGCCCTAAACCCCAAAGCACCTACACCCAAAATCCCAAAAAAGTCCTTGAACCCCAAAAACGGTTTTTGCGGCAGACCCCAGAGCCTGGTCTGCTTTTCACCTTGGGGAGCTTCGGAGAAATCCTTGGACTTCCAGAGCTTCTCTTGTTCTTCTTGCGGTTAATTCGGGTTTCAGGGTTTAGGGCGTTTAGGGTTTTAGGATTTAGGGTTTTGGGTTTTGGGTTTAGGGGCTGAGAGTGAGGGATATTAGGCTTAGGGACTTTAGGGGCTAAAGGTTGGGTTTCACGCATGCGTACAACCTCCACGGGTTCAGAGATTAATTGAGCGTGCGAGGTGCGCATGTGGATCTTCGACACTGCAGATGGCTTGGCAAGATACCTGCTTCCTGTCAGAAGTTGCTGTAGCAAAGCCGGATACTGTGGACCTGCATTTTGGACTGCTGCAGCCAGACACACCCGGAGAAGGTAAAGCCTTAAAGTGCTTGGTGCCTCAACCCAACCGCATCCTGTCCTGACGTAGTTGAACCGTACATCGTTAAGTGCCCCACCCTAAATTAGAAGCCCGACCCCGCCCCCAACCCTACTCAGCTGCAAGCTCCGGAACCCAGAGCAAGCCGTAGGCCACACTGATCCGAAGCGGGTAACCATAACCCCCAAGTCCCAAAAAAGTCCCCAAAAAAAACTCCGCCCGACCCCCCAAAGCCACGGAGCTCCGAATCTCCAACACATCGTATGCCATAGTATAGTATGCTACAACAGATTTTACTATAGTATCGTACAGTATGGTATAGTATAATACAGTATAGCATAATATTGTGCAGTCTAGTACAGGATCCCGATTGAGTTAGCACTTTGAGTAGGAAGTGGAGGCTTTACGGACTTATCTTACAATCCCTTGCGCTTCCCAGCTGATCGGCAGAGTCTGGGTTTCAATAACGGGACTTACTGTGGACGCCAAAATAATTACCAATACTATTCCTTGGGGTCCCTTAATATATCTAGACTATAAAGGAGCCCAGAACCCTACTCTACTTATTAAGGCTCCCTATATTAGAAGAGATGATTTTGTGGCCTTGGAACTGCACAGCATACACAGATCCCTCGTCAGGAAAGGTCGCTGCGGCTGCCCGGGTCCAGCCCGAAAGATTCAGTTCTACGGCGAAGGCTCGGGACGTCAGAAAGGTTCCGACATAGCGTATACATTGGCATGTCAGGAAAGACAGGCTGAAATGGGAAGAGCAACTTTATCTTTGACTCTGGGGATCTGTGCTGGTCAGCTGTTGTTGATCGGAGTTCATGAGAAAGTATCGGGTTCCATACAGAAAAGCAGAGTACCTCTAGAAAGCCTGTATAGAACCCCGTAGAGACACCCAGCCTTATGCTAGATTCTTCCGCTTGAAGACCACTTTACACGCCAGAAACCCCCACCAAATCAAGAGGGGCGTCGCAAGAATTACTTTGTGGTTGTGCTACAGAAGTCGTCGCTGTTGCCCAACACCCAATTGATAAGCATCTAAAACAATTTGATAAGCATCGTAAAGAAATTGATGACCACCCTTAAAAATCCGAAACCCTCCGTGCAATTTTTTCTTGATGCCTATCAAATGTTTTTTGATGGCTACCGTCTAAAGCCTAAACCCTATTATCAATTTTTTTAGATGCTTATCAATCTTTTTTTGATGGCTACCGTGGTAATTTGTTTGATGCTTATCAATTTGTTTTTGATGGGTCACCCCCCGTTGACACCCGGAATGCAAAACAGGCTTCATAACAGATTTCAGGACCACAATACTGCGAACCCCTCGTGAGGTGACAAAGAGCTCCTCGTTGCCGGAGGCTTCCAGCGCACCTTTGTAGCTGAGGTTGGCAGGCCTGTCATACTTTATTGCGCTACAAAACCCATTCAAACCCGAAAGTTTAAGGCGCGTTTGGGTTATGACCCGGGCAACTAAGGCATGGGATACTTGAGCAAGATCTCCTTCATCCAGGATCAGCAGAATCGAGAGCCCCCACTGCACCCAGGGGCCCCAGCATTCCAGCGGAGAAAACGAGGGTTCAGTGTGGACCGCGAAGGTTCTACGACTTTCTACGAGTCTGGCATTCCGGGATGTCCAGGATTCAGGATTCTAGGTTTCACGGCTTTGGCGTTTTTGCAGGTTTGGTGCTTCTCTTCTAGTCTGAATCTTAAGCTGAAGGGTCGGTTCTGGAGTGCCTCGACTGGGACCTTGCAGCTGTTTCTGCGATTTTCGCTGTGCCTGAATACTAAGAATTCCGGTTCACATTTACCCTGGAGCTGCCCGTTTGGCCGAATGCACGGAACGCGAAGGCAAGGAATGGGGCTGAACGTGATTGAAAAGGGGTTTCGTGCTGCACCATGCTAGAAACCACGCCAAGAAAGGCCTGCCAAAGGGCCATGTTTTGCTACAGCCCCGGTTTAGGGTTTTGGGTTTAGGGCTGTGCTGCATTGAGGGGGTCGGCCTCCAGGCAGAATCCTGATGAATAGACCCCTTTTCCTGGCAACGAGGATTAGAATACGAAGCCTCCCGTCAAATCTGCTTGAAACCCCAGAA